AACTTCAAACCCACTAATCTCTCCTTTCAAGTCTGTTTTTCGCAGATAACAAGATTTCATTTAAAATTGTGAGATTTAGTTTATTATCTATAAAATTCCTCCATAAGTGTACATTCATCTTCCTTCTCAATTGACTTATAGTACTTGGTAATATATTCCAATTGTCCTTCGACGCCTTTATTAAGCCTGGAAGATTGATGTACTTTAACTCGATTACCACATCTCTGCAAATAAGGTCAACAAACCCAAATCTAACCGAATCCCTTTGGTTTATTACTATCAATTAAACACAATACTGGGATTCGGTTATTTGGCAACAACAATTCAATAACTGCTTGTAATACTGCCTCAGCCATAGATGATAATGATGAGGTTAAGGATCATTTTGACTTGATATTATTTCTATAGGGTTATTGTTTTAAGCAGGATTTGGAAGAATTGCAGAGTCAGAAGATCTCCTCCTTTTATGCGTGACTTGCATCTTTTGGTGTCCATTCTTTCACGCTTTTCCCCTGCTGATTTACTTTCTTCCCATGCTGATTTACTCTCATCCGAATCTTCATTCTCTTTATTAGACTTTATAGAGATGAAAAAATTATGTTAGATCAGAATAATTGAATGTAAAGTACATATAACTTGTAAGTGCTGAAGTTCTTTGCAAACTCTATCTTTAGAGCTAGTAGACTCTCAAAGAAACTTGGAAACGGTCAGATGCAAGGAACCACACCCCTGTTGTGACTTCTAATGTATAGTTGTTGGTTACACATCCAAATTTAGAACTTGTTGAGTACCCTTGATTGGCGCGCTGTCAACAAGAACGCAAGAGCCTGGCAAAAAAAGCCCACTTCCAAAATACATATTTTTAAAAAAAAATGAAATATATAGAACTTACTCTTTTCAAAGTTCTTGGGTAAAATCACAGAGTTCTTTTGTCTGAAGTGGCATATCACTATAGCATTCCCGTTACTTATCACTCTCATGTTTCATTTTCCTCATTTTTGTCTAGCGTGTGAAACTTTTTTCTATACAGTAAAAATTCGGTTGGAGGTCTTGTTGGAGACGCTTCTTACTTTTGATAGATTTTATACAGTCAAACCTCTCTAAATGCACCCCTTAGAACAATAGTGAAAATTTAAAAAATGTGTATTTAAAGAGGGAGTGCATTTAGAGAAGGTGCTTTATAGAGAGGTTTGACCGTTCTACCATTTTATAGAGAACAGGAGACGCGTCAATTTCAAATCATGTGACCCATGTTACTTTATTGTTGCACAAGCTTCGGCTGTCACCTGAGTTTATACTTTTTTTTTTCATTAATGTTGTGACGTTAATCATATCATTATAAAGGTCAAAATATTAAGAATATTGCAGAAAATCAATGGAAGCTTGATGAGGAAAGTCAAAGGAAATTTCATGTAAAAATCAAAGTTGATCCTGATCATATTCCTTAACCTTCGAATCGTCATTCGTATTAAAAGGAACGCAAGAAGAAAGTAATCTTCCATTGTTTGATTAGTCAACACGCTAACTGCAAATATTTTTTCAAATGTTACGCAACCAAGGGTAAACGAAAATGCAAATTAGAGTGTGAGAAGAAAAAGGTTACTTTTAAGGATTCGAATATCTATTAATATCATAAATTACGTAAATAAATATTATGAAATCAAATTTATTTAATCACAAACAAAGCAATTCAATTTTCTTATAGTAAACTATTAATTTATTAAGAAGCTCCTTAACTAATCACACAAATGCTTATTCCTTTAACTAACTCACTACTTCTCTATTTCTCACCCTTTAAAAGAATTCATCATTTTTCCTCTTTTCTAATAAATATTATCTCATGATTGCTTGAATTTTTTAATAGCAGTAATTGTTCCATTCTTGTTAATTTCTTGATTCTAACCTCAAAAAACGTATTTTCTCCTATAATCTGATGTAGTTTTGAAAGTGCATTTATTCAAAATTAACAGAGTTAACAAAATTTTCGTCTGCCAGCTTCACGAGAAAATTGTCGGTGACAATAATGAGTACGTAATAAAATAGTTGAGGATGACAAAGATTTTTCCACTCGTGAAATTTTTTGTTGGACGTTAATTATTTTCAAGTATAATAAATAAATCGGCTTAGGGTTCAGATTAAATAAATATTATAAAAAATAATGAATAATAATAATGAATTCCCTCATTCTGAAAATTTCTTAATACTCATGCCCAAAAAAAGTCCAATAATTAATTAATCAACCAATTTCAAAATTTCCGCATCTTTACAACAATCACTAGGAATTTTCTCATTTTTATCTTTAATATGTGATAATGATTCAAAATCATTTAAATTTTTTAGAATTAGAATCACATCTTTTGAACCATTCTCGAATGCTCTATGTAAACAAGTTTTACCATCTGAGTCTTGTAAAGTGTGTTTTGCACCAGAAGATAACAGTAAAGATACCACATTAAAATGATTGTAAGCTGACGCTCTATGTAATGGCTAATAAAGAAATTCATGATTAGTTAAAGAAATTGTCAAAGTAAAGAATAAAATGAACTTACAGTTGAAAGCAATTCAGGTGTTATGGCATTAACATTGGCCCCATGATCTATTAATGTACGACAAATTTCTAAATACCCCTTCCTTGCTGCGTAATGCTTTATGAAAAGGAAACGGTCAATTTAATCTATAAGGAATAAAGGTAATTGACAATGAAATGATCATACTAACTAATGGAGTATATCCAGTGCTATCAATTTCGTTTACCACGGAACCACCTTTCTTCGAAATGATAGTTTTCACTCGAGTAACGTCCTTATTTAAACAAGCGTAATGAATTGATTTTTGAAAATCCAATTCATCTAATGTTTGAGAGTAAGGATTTGGTGCTGAAGAATGCGAACAAGTTTTACCGTCATGACTATGATTATTAACACTCATTTAGATAAAAGAAAGGTACAAAATGGGGGAAAATATTTATTATTTTTTTGTGGCTTAAAAAGTGTGATCGGGGTTGATCGCCAAGCTTATGACGCAACGGGATCATCATCAAATAAGTTGTCGTAATGTCGCGTGTTTTAGATGAATTCGTGACACCCTGTTACATCAAACCAAAAAAACCTGTAGTCCCAAATCCGTTTGGGCTAATGATCGAATTGGACTTTTCCTTGAATAATTAGATTTATCCTTGTAATCGAATTTCAAAGTATATGGTCGTATAAAATAAGTGATAAACATGTACCTGAATCGGATATCCAAAAAAAGTTGAAAATGACGAAATAAAGAAATTATTATTATTTGTAATAATATATGTAAAAATAAGTATTGAATGTTCCTTGTAAAGTTAATTCTTTGTACTTCATTGCGAATTTGATTGGTTGAACACGAAAAAAGCCACAAAGCCCTCCCATATCGACTTCGTTAAATAGAATGGACATTGATTTTTTAAATTTGGGTCGTTAAACAATTCAACAATGAGATATATTTGTAAAGAATAATTAAACAGATTTTCCATGTACGTTATCTGATCTTTTTGTTATCTTTATCTATTTACATATTTCAATGCACCCCAACAGGTTAAAGTGTGATGCAAGATAAGGAAATAATTCACGCGGTGAAGCACAATAGAGCATGTGATCTTGGAGAGATTTTTATTTCCCACATGGTTACAAGTAATCTACTATATTATGAATTAACCAAAGAAAGATTTTTATTATACAACATACCTGATATTTTTTTTTTTAAAAAAAAAAAAAAAAAAAAAAAAAGGATGTAACTGCGGTTTATCATATAATCGGTAAAATTCAGTCATCTCAATTATGTAAAAGATAAGATAAAGTCACAAGAGATCTTTAATCAACAAAGGAAGTTGTCAAAGCCAATTTTATGCCCAATTTCCAAATTGTTTAAAAAAGAAAAAAGAAAAAAAAAAAAACTGCATAATCAATGAGATAAAAATGTTGCAAAAGTTGCGATATGACAGATTAACCAATTAAAAAATAGCATGTTACGATCAAAGAAATCTGATGGATGATTTCAAATTATGACTAACCAATTTTTAAAATTTTTAAAGTAAACACATATATTAAATTCCATTGATCCCATATAAAAATCAACTAAAAATTTTTTTTTCATTTCTCTTATTTCTCTTAACTCAGCCATTTTATAAATATTGTAAATTTTCACACGTAAAAAAAAAAGCAAAACAAAAAAAAAAAAAAAAATCTTTATTTTTTTTTTTAAAAAAAAAAAAAAAAACAATTT